GGTAATCTGCCTTTTAAACAAGCTCCTAGGTGGTGCCAGTGATGTTGGTCTGGGTTCACACTTTGAGAACCAATGGTCTAGATGAATTCCAGAGACAAGTTGGAGTCCCTGCACTGATTTTTCATGAGCTCCTGGGATACTTGGTTGGGTGAGCCAAATTTGTTAAAGGGCTGGGGACAGAATAGATGAATATAATATATTGGCTTTTTTTATTCTCCGTTTTAATTGGCCTTTCTTAAAAGTCAAATGCATAGCTCAGAGTTTATGAGGATATGTACCTCCTTCTGTATTAAAATGCAAAATAAACTTAGTATTCATTCCAGATAAACATACATAGAAATTATTCCCTACCTATGAAAAGTGATTTATTTACTATCTGTGTGATTTAACAGCTAATACAGTGCTCTGGTTAAGCTTGTGTGCTCTGAAAGTAGACTGCCTAGGGTCAAATCTTGATTCCACCACTGGCTTCGTGCCCTGAGGTCACAAGTTTCTTAAACTTCCTGAACTTCCTCTGTAAAGTGGGGATATTACCAGTTGCATAGGGTTATTGTGAGGATTAATAAAACAGTGGTTTTAAACCACTTATTGGAGTGCCTCACTTAATAATTGCTCCATAAATGTTAGCAATTATTAGAACACCAAAGTGAATGCCTTTGTTCAGAAATGTGACTTTGTATATAATACTTTGGTAGTTATCTGAGGTTTAACCTGATAGGTTATTCTCTGTATCTATAATTCATTTTAACTCTTCTGCTGAGAATAGCCCTGAGTTGGCATAAAGTTATACATTATATGTAAACAATGTGATTCAAAAGTCAAAGTGGATTACAGATAACAAAGAGTATAAAATTGCCTCTCACAAACTCAGACTGAGAGGGAGGAACACCTTTTACAGCACAGTGGCTAAGAGCATCAATTCTGGGGCCAGATTGCCTAGGTTTGTATTCTGACTCCACCCTTCACTAGCTCTGTGACACTGAACAAGTTACTTGACCTCTCTGTTCCCCAGAATCTTCATCTATCAAATGTTGGTAATAATACTACCTATCTCAGAGAGTGGCTGTAAGTATATGTGTCCCCATATGTGCACATGTGTGCACACACACACAGGAGGTCATACACATAAAATGATTAGACTATAAATGACACATGCAAAGTGCTGAGAACAATGCCTTCAAAATAAGGCCTGTAGAAGTGTTTGGTGTTATCCATATTTAGTTTGTGTATATGTATATGCTGGCAGAATTTTGTCTTTAAGGAAAAATAAATTAGAAAAACAGGATTTTCCACCTCTAGTTCAACATAGTACAGCATAGGTCTGTGGTAAATTTATAAAATTGGAAACAAGTATTACCTTAATCAAACTACATAAGAAGGAAAACCCCTCTCTTCACCTCCTCCACAGCCTCCTTAAACATATAATCGGAATTTTATTTACAACCAGAGTTAGTCCCTTTCAGACAATCTAAACCTTCAGGATGTTTTAGAAAAAACAAAGATCTCTTTCTTACTTAAAAGATGCCATTGACTTTGTTATTGCCGAGTTCTGTGGTCTTTTCTCTGTCTCTTGTCCCCGGCCTTGCTTCTGCATTTGACATCATTGACCACTCTGCCCTTGAAATGGCCCCTTTCCTGGGCAGCCTGACTTAGACACGGCTTCCCTCCCAGCCATTGCTTCTCTGATTTCCCAGGCTCTCGGTCTGTCACCTGCCCCTCATGGGCATGTCAGCCAGCACCAAGCTTCACCCTCCCTTCTCAGGACACTTCCTCAAGCTCTCAGTGATCCCCAAGACTTCCTCTTCCCTCTTTGAGCTGAGGTCTCACATCGGTTCTGTTCTCCCATCTCAGCTCTAGCCCATAACCCCAAAAGCCTGCTAGTATTTCCACTTGAATTCCTCATCATCACCCCAACACCAAACTTGCATTTCTTCAGAAACATTTATTCCCGCAGCACTCCTGTGCATCATTAAACCACACGGGGCCCAGTCCCTGGGCTTAGCATGTTGTCGCTACCACTGACAAATCCCTGTGCACCAGTTTCTTAAGTCTCCTTTTGGTGTCTTCCCCTGATGTGGCCTCACTGCTACCTGCCCTTCCAGGTCAGAACCATTGTGACCGCAGCCACTACCTCCTAGTCCCCACTGCAGGCACATTTCCTGCCCTTCTTTTGTAGCACCAACAGCCCTTCTTCCTTCCAACTAGCCATTTACCCATTCCAGGCTCTCCTGTTTCTACCCATATCAAGTGCAGATTCATCAGTCTGGCTTTCAAATGCTTTCATCGGATGCCTCGAAAGCCTGTAGCCCCCTATGTGTCCCACGTGGGTTCCACGTGGACTCTGCTCTGATCCCATGGACGCACCTCATGTTCATGTTAGCCCTTTGTTCCCAGCTCTGAGCAACCACTGCCTTGACACTCAGCACCTAATATTCCTTTGCGCCTCGTTGACACGTATGCGGTATGCATCAACTTTGGTTTCCAGGTGTGAGAAGATGGGAACCATTCTTTAAATATTCTTAAACTATACACAAATCTAGCACAGCATCTGGAACAGTAAAGAAAGAATACATAGAACCACTGAGTGTTACACATAGAATCACTGAAAGAAAAAAAAGAAAAATGTGCCACAGAATTCCTGAATGCAAATGTAGAATCTGAATACCTGAGATAGATAGCTTAAAATTTAATGGTTATATACTTGGATTTACGGTTATCTTCTATATGTGGGACTAGATACAAATAGTATCTATGTTACTGGTATTAATACGTTATTACATTATTGGTATAAAGTTATTTTAGAATAAATTTGCTTTTGATTAAAATATTAGTTTACAGAGAAATGTTAAGCAAATTGTAGTAGTAGAGGTAAGATGATATGGCAAAAATTGCAAGAGTAATACTCTCACCACAGATACAAGGCTTGAAAATACAATAGATAGAAGGCTTGAAAATACCACAATACATTATGAATAGATCCTGCACTTAATAATTGTTGACTGATAGCTCACATCAATCAACATAGGAAATAGCCTTCAGACGCCCTTCCTAAAAGCCCCTTATGGCAAAATGAGCAGACATTAATTTTCATACCTACATTTTTAGCATAATGTCAAGGAAACAGAAGAGTAAAGGGTCAACTGGCAAAAATGTTATTTGGCTCCCAGGAGGTCATCTGGTTGCTGTGTTGGCTGGAGGTGGGAACAAGACTGAAGAGCCAGGGCTCTTGTCCAGTGGGGACATTGGCTCTTTCAACTACCCACTGCCCTTCCTAGGACCCTCTCCCACATAAAGTCTAGCTGGATAAGCAGCAACACATTAAACAATGGATGAGTCAAAAAAAGACAGTTTACATTCCCATATGCACAGAAACATCTATGAAAGAGAGAGGCTTTTGTATTTCACGCACCAGTTCCTGTTCATCTTCTCTCTCTTATTTTGGAAGCTTTAACAGCCACTCTCAGCAGCCCTACCTTACAGTGGTTTCCACCAGCAAGTTTAGCCCCCCTGACCAGGCTCACTGAATTACAGGCCTCAAAGTAAACTCTCTGTGGAAGAACACAAATAGACTGCAGCTGGAGGTCTGTTTATGGCGGAGTCTAAAAAGCCAAAATTGAAAATGCAAAGAACTCTGAATATTGGGAGATATGAAAAAGGAATCCACTGTACAATGGAATTCTGATGCAAACTACACAGAGTTCGGTCAAATTTCACAGGTTAGGGGCACAAGCCCCACAAGACTGCACTCGCTTCAGACGCCAGCTGCAAGTCTGGGGGACCCCAGGCCACATGCACTTCTGACCAACTGGCTAAAAATTTGAGGGTCCCCCCCACAAACCTCTTAGGTTTGATAATTTGCTAGAACAATTCACAGAACTTAGGAAAGCACTTAACTTACAATTAAAGTTTTGTTAAAGAATACAAATTATGAGAATACAAATAAAGAGAAACATAGGGTGAGATCTGGGAGGATCTCAAGCATGAAGCTTCTATGTTCTCAGGACATGTCACTCACCTGGCAGATCCATGTGTGTCATCAGCCAGGAAGCTTACCCCAGCCTTGGTGTACAGAGTTTTTATTGGGATTTCATTACGCAGGCATGAGTGACTGAATCACTGTCAATGTGTTTGGACTCAATCTCCAACCTGCTTCAATCCCCAGAGATTGGGAGGTCAGGCTGATATCACATGACCCTTTAGTCAAATGGTTGGTCTTTCTGGCATGGTGAGTCCCCACCCTGAAACCATCTATGGTCCCATAGTGAATCACCTCATTAGCATAAATTCAGATGTATTCCTGGGGCCCACCACAAATAACAAAGACATCTCTATCACTTGAAGAATTGCCAGAGTTTAGACTCTCCCTCCCAGGAAGCCAGGATACAGACAATACAATAAAAATTAGACCTGTTTAAGTCACAGAAAACCAAAGTGGATAAAAAAAAAAAATTGTGATTTTTATGGTGGAGAAACACACTGGGAAAAATGTCATTTGAATATAAAACAAATGGTCATTGAACACCATTAGAGTCTTTTTCATTTAGTTTTCACTCACTTGTTTATTTATTCAACAATATTTATTGAGTACCTCCCATGATAGTCACTAGAGATACACTGTGACACTGTCAGTATAATAACAAAAATTGTTTATTCGTATTTCATGGAAAAGAGGAAGAATGAACTATTTGAAATTATTTGCTGATTTTAATTCCAATCTAAATGAACTTGAATTCTGAGAAAATTGTTAATTTTTGCTTGTCAAGAATTACATAAAAGAGTCCCCAGAGTACAAAGTATTAGGCAGATTTATGAAGAATTTGGGGAGGTGGGAATAATAGAAGAAATAAATGTTGGTTTAACTGGAAGGCTACCATTTGGTCATATGTTTCTAAACAAAATCAAGACGTGCTTTGAAATGTGACGTGTTATAAACTGTTCTGTTTTTGCTTTCCTGTAATTGGAACAACATACTAATTTCTACAAGTTGTGACTACTAACAGAGAGCAATCACCTCACAGACTTGTACCGAAGAGATGAAACCATCCAGGTGACAGGAAACGGCCATGTGCAGAGTCCTCGCTTCCCGAACAGCTACCCCAGGAATCTGCTTCTGACCTGGCGGCTCCATTCCCAGGAGAAAACAAGGATACAGCTTGCGTTTGACAATCAGTTTGGATTAGAGGAAGCAGAAAATGATATCTGTAGGTAAGTGGGGGGAAAAAAATCTATTTTAGGGTACTGTTCCAAAGCGAAAAAAAAGATGAATTTAAAGCATCACATTAAACGTTCCTTTTGAGCCCTGTGGACCTACTCAAGATGTGTCGCTTCCTTTCCTAAAAGCCTTTATGTCAGCGCTAGCAGACGAACAGCACAGACTGCTGCTGCAGAGCGCCTGATAACCTGGCATGACTCGCAGAAACTCACTTCCTCAGCTGTCATGATCTGGAGGTCCCTGTCTTTTCCAGGCACAGAACAGCCTGAGCAAGTAGATACATCCTGCAGCCACATCGTGTGGCCTTGATCAAAGCCTGCCAGGGGCTTAGGGGACATAAACCCCTGCTCAGCACCAGGAGGTGACCCAGGCCACTGTAACCATAATGATTTCCCCCAGTGCTGGGAGGACCTCGTCATGGCTTTACCCTGAATTCATAATTTGAAGGCCTCAGAAATATATAGGAAGGAAGAGAAGGTAACCCCAGAGTTCCTGTGCTCCTCAGAACGGTCTATCTCCTGTATTTTCTGGGTCAGCAGAAAAGATGAAAGCTGTGTCTGATAATCTTTTCCCTTCTTAGCATATTTATCAGAGAAAGCCCTGGCTGCTGTTCTTTGAATTGTCCGCACACAGCATCTTACTCTCTTAATTAGCATGTATAAGACCTAGGGAGGATTTTTCTTTCCTTTTTGTACTTTACTGCACGTGCTTGTTCTGCATTGCCAATGAACTACTGAACTGCTAAATCCTTTCAGCAGGTTTATTTTCCATTGAATAATAAAATGAGGTGCCTCAAATTTGGTTGTCCTTTGTTGCATGTTTATTATGCTGACAGCTTTTATTATGTTGCTATTTTTCTGAGAACAACAGCAGTGACTATTACTCTCTAGGACCATAGAGGGTAATGTATGCCAGAAAGCAGAGACACATACATGCAGGAAGAGCTAGTTAATATTTACAAAGAGAATAAACTAAAGCTGATCTTGTGTCTTTTCAACCTTGGAAGGAAAAAATAATTTTCTATACCAGTAAAAAAAATCACGGAAAAAAATAATCCCCACTAATAAAAGATTGTTAAAGGTGATGACATGAAAGAGATCATGATCTGTTTCTACCCACAGAACACTTCTGTCACCAAATGGGGGTGTGGTTCCCCACACCAGCCCATTCTCTGACACCAGCTAGGTGTTCTCCAATCCAATTCAATTCTGACACCATCTACTTGGAGTTAGCATCAGATCTCACACGTTAAGAGCTGTCCCACAAGACTGCTCCCGTATTAGATGCCAATTGCAGGTCCGCAGCCTCCCATACTTCTGACGGACCTGCTGTAAATCATGGGCGTCCACATACCCCTCCTTGGGTTTGATAATTTGCTGGAACAGCTCACAAAACTCAAGGAAATGCTTTACTATTACCAATTTATTACAGAGGATGTCACTGAGGAACAGCCAAACAGAAGAGATGCATTGGCAAGTCATGTGGGAGGCCATCTTCTTCAGGTGCCCCACCTTCCAAGCACCTCAGTGTGCTCAGCAGCCCCCAACCTGGAAGCTCTCTGAATCCCAAAACAGGGGATTTTATGGAGGCTTCATTATACAGGTGTGACTGAGTACATCATTGGCCTTTGGTGTTTGAACTCATTCTCCAGCTCCTCTCTTCTTTCCAGAAGTCTGGGAGTAGAACTGAAAGTTTCAACCCTCTCATCATGCCTTGGTTTTTCTGGTGTCTAGCACCCAGAGTCACCTCTTTAGCATAAACAGGTATAATTGCAAGGAGCTTATTTTGAATAACAAAAGATGCTCCTATCACTCCATCACTCAGAAATTCCAAGGGTTTGGGGAACTCTGTGCTAGGAACCAGGGATAGAGACCAAATATATATTTCTTACTATATCACTGTATCACAGAAGGGAAGCCACATCTCCACTACTGAGCTGGGGTTTGCTCCTGGCAGTGAGCCCTTTTGGCATCTTGGCCTTGAAAATAGAAGAGGAAGATTTAGGATGGTTTTCTTCTGGACCCCTTAATCAATCTAGTTGCTCCTCAAAATTTATGGGAGGAAGTAATGGAAAAAGAGATGGAAAGAGGAGAGGAAGAAGGGAAAGAGACATGTCAGAGACTTGCCTTGACCTACTATGTTACTAACAAAGTTTCAGGTAACTCATGCTTTGTGCAATAAATATGATTTACACATATTGTATATAAAATGAAATGCAATTGGTTTCCTACCATCTGTTCCAAAGCCTTCTTGATGTTTTCACTATAATATTTTATTGCTTGAATAATGATTCATTGTTAGTGCTTCACACCTTCCAAACACCGTATAAACATTAAGTAATTAGTTTACAGAGCACCCAAGAGATATGCAGCTGGTAAAATTATATAAGCCTTCTTATTTTACCCCTAAGGAAACTGAGGCGAAGGACACAAGTGCCTCGTAAATCACTGTCAAAGAAATTTAGTCGCAATGTCATTGCTTTTCACCTACTCCTTGGATTACGCTGCCCAATCCAATAAGAGCTCTGAGGTGCATGGGCAGGATGCAGAAAACCATACTGGTTTTTCTTCATGTTCAGATTTCTTGTGCTGATTCCTTCTGGTAATCCCAACAAAAATGTAAGATGGATGTGAGACTTCTATCACTGTTCACTCTGAATGCCCATCATTTGTGTGTGACGTTAGCATCTGCAGTTGTTTTGGAAGAGATAGAGTGGAGGAGTGAGACACCAAGAACCAGAACTGAAAGACAGATAGTTCAGCAATCAGAAGGAATGTTCCAAGTCTTAGGAGTCTGAAAATAGAAAAAGTGATCCCTAGAAGGTGTAAACGCTGTCACTGAATATGTCCTACTATGTGATGGAATGATGGGATGCTATGGAGGGACTTCAAGGATCAAATAGTCACCTAGAATAAAGAGGCCTTTGCTGTCTTCTTTAATCCTGCGATTCTGTGTTTTTCCGACCAATGCCAAAAGTGAACCTAGGACCTAAAGCTCATTCAAACCATGGTTTAACCAGCCCATATTTTTCCATTATTGGGCAGCACCCATCTTTCCCCAAGGTTATGTGCTTTTCCTTCTGATAATTGTCTTATTTTATGATATGATCCTTCCAAAAGACAGTTTTCAAAAATAAAATATAGCAAATCATGTCTATATCCATTTATTTTCTGTAATGAGAATGCGGATTCTACAGTAGATATAGATCATTTCCTTTCTCAAGGAAGCACTGAACGTGGTAAATTAATTCAAAGTAGGGATTTGTTTGAAAAACTTTATAGAGGAAATATTTGGACATATAACTCAAGCTACATCTCCTAAAATTTGCCAACAGATTACAGTTATTCATTTTTCCAAGAAAACTTTCTAAGCCGGATGCTCAAAAAGTAGCCCATTTTGATTTTTGATGATCTGGGAACAGTCCTGGCTAGATGCATGTAAGAGTTCTTTCATAACATGTTACTGCAGTTTGAATTTGGAAAACCTAATCCAAAAACTAGCTTTCTTTTTAACATTCTGTAGGGTATAATTTTCATTTCAGATGGTAGATCATGAGAAGTCACATATTAGTTTTTAATTTCTCAGGGAAAGTATGAATTTCAAAATCTACTCTAATCAAAATATGTTCATTTATGTCAAATTGATTTTAGGTATGATTTTGTGGAAGTCGAAGATATATCTGAAACCAGTACCATTATTAGAGGACGATGGTGTGGACACAAGGAAGTTCCTCCAAGGATAACATCAAGAACAAACCAAATTAAAATAACATTCAAGTCCGATGACTACTTTGTGGCTAAACCCGGATTCAAGATTTATTACTCTTTTGTGGTAAGTAGTTCAACCAGCCTATGATTAAAAGCAGACACTGGTTTCATGAAGTATAAAGATCATTTTCTATGATTAAATGCAGTGGTGTGAGGGTGAATGAACTTCATTATGGCATAGTTTCTTCCTTCCTTTTGGCCCAGATGTTAAAGCCTTCATTAGTAAGGAATACCATTTTAGATCTATTAAGTCAACCTTTGAGCCATGCATTCTTAAAAAGAGTATAGTAAATAGAAACAGGAAAATAGTTGATAGTAAAGCAGATATTAAATTACCTTTGATTCAATAGAAGCAAAGTAAACATATAGCTAAATAGAAGGTATGTGAGAGTTGAACAGGTTTTAAGAACTAAAGCTAAAGAAAATAATTTCTCTTTTGGTTTGAAAAATTATCTAGAAATTCCATCACAGAAAAGAAGTCCTGATGATTATAGTTTAAAATATGTTACGTCTTTGCTGTTATAATAGAGCATCAGAGTTGGCAAGCATCTTCAAGATCAAAGTCCAACTCAAGACCCACAGAACGAACCCTGTTTACTACACTCATGCTTGGTTTTAGTCTCACCTCTGCTTAAACACCTCGGCAGCCGTTTCCAACTTTAAATGGTTCTGACTGTTAGAAAATGTTTAACCTCATATTGAGCCAAAGTCTACCCTCTATTTAATTCTAGTTTTTGAGTCACACTCAGTCATGTGTCTTCTTTATTCATTCATTCATTCATTAATAAAAAAAAAGAAATTGGGTTTCTGCTCCTTGTCAAGCACTGTGATAGATGTAGTAGATAACACAGGTAAGAAAGACAGAGTCCTTGAACTCTTGGAACTTGTAGTCTTGTGGAGATGACAATCAATTAAAAAGTAGTAACATCTGAGAATGATGAATAGAAGAAGACACAAGGACTCGGTGCTATAGGTTAAGTCCACTGAGGCACTGGGATAATTTCACCTACAATAATACAGTTTAATATATAAATATATAAATAATAATGTGTATAAATATATATAAATGTCTCTGAATCCTTCAAGTGTTTATAGAATATTGCCTTTTGTTCTTCTAGCAACAATTTTTACTCTCATTAGGTCTGCCTCTGTCCCTTTTCAAATTTTGCATGCCAAAATAAAACCAAAATAGAATGCAGTACTATAAATGGTATCGATTTGTTTGGGTTTGGGTTTTGGTTTTTCTCTAAAGAATTACATTTAGAAGAGGAAAAAATCTTGCTTTTTTAACCTAATGGGTTTTGCATTACGGTGAGTTATTAGATGCTGAGTGAATTCTACGTGGAAATGTTGTAAATGAAAAACTAGCATGCTGTGACACTGGTTCCGGTTTTAATTTGAAAATAATCCATCAAGCATGATTTACATTATTGCAAACTCATACAGTGCTGCTCAGCATTAAAATTGAAGTGTGAACCTTTGGTTTCTACATTTCTTGCTTTTTAATGTGTTCGGTGATGCGTCTGTTCTCAATTGTTCACGGACAAAGCAGGCTTGGCATGTTAGAATGGTGAGGGACAGGCTGAGTGAAGGATCTTTTGCCCGTCAAGGACTATTAGTGTTAATGTATGTACTTTTTGTGATGCTTTGATTACGACTAATTTAAATGGTGCATGAGCCAGATAGCAGCTTCCTAACTCTAACACAATGTCTTTAAGGCCAAACAACCCCTTTCACGGAAGGCAGTACAAGTATGGGTTTAAGGAAGAATGAATACTCAGGTTTGGAGTGTTCTGGGTTATGGTACAGACTCGTCATTCATTTCCCAGCCAATGTTACATGGAATATAGGCTGCCTCTGTAATTTGGATGAAAACTCTTTGGCATTAATCTACTCACTTATTTACCTCCACCAGTACATTCAATTGTGTTTTTTTAGAAATGAGAGTTATAACATTTTTGTGTTATTCCCCTACTGGCCTCTTGGTCTGCATCCATTAGGAATAGCTACAAACTCTATTTCTCCTCCTAACAGGCCTCTGGCAGTCACTGTGGTCAACTAGGGCCAAAGTGCTTTGGAGGCTAAACTCCAAGAGGCAAAATGAGCTTAACTTCCAGGTATGTAGACACTCTAGACCTGTGTGGCTCTTTGACAAAACTCCTGTTTGATTCTTGTTCCATAGGGATAGAAGATCACATATGGCTTGGACACTGCATTGGGAAAATCATTTTATTCATGGTTAAGTTTTACTTGGAAAGACTTTAAAGCAGGGTTAATAAACTCAAGAGACAGGGCTTGAAACTGAAAGTAGGCCAGGTATAAATTAACAGGGAGTCAGTGGGACTAAAAATGGCAAGTCCTCTTAAAGTGCATTTAAATAATTGTTTTAGAATGCTGAATACCTAGGGGCTGGATGCAGCTGTTTTGCAACTCCTACTTTAAGGAATGATAGGTGCTAGGGAAATGTGATCTTAAGAATAGTTCCAGAGGAGTCAAAGTACTCTTTAAAAAAGCAACTGTTTGAATAGGTCAAGATCATCTCAATTTTCACCTCCACCTTCCCACCTCCATGCCTCCTATCAATCAGCTCTGCTCTTCCCACCTCAGTGACTCTCCATTTATACAGGGACTTCTGAGGCTGTACATAGTAGATGCCTAGGATCACAATAGCCCATTACACTGGAATCAAACCTACATGGTCCATGCTCATAACATTATTGGAAAAGCACAGTGTATACTTTTAGTCAATTTTTTACTCCAGCAGACTGTGGAAGACTGATGGATGATATCAAAGTAACTTATGTTTGGTTGGGAATAATTCTTATATTACAATTTTGCTTGATGTGCTAGGGATTCAGTCTTCTGTCTTTTTTCCAGCACCTGTTGCGATCTCTTCCCAGGACAAGGCAGCATAGCCACGTGGGACCAGAGCTTTTCTGTAAAGCACGCTTAGGATTGCAGTAAAGTTTTACCAGTCACTAATGATGTGATATTGAACAAGGTTCTCACCCTTTACTTTTACATCTTTAAGATGGGAGTTGGTAGGAGATTTTAAAACAATAATAAATACTTAGCATATAGTGCCTAGAATATAGTAACTGCTCTATATATGGTAACGATGATCCTACCTTTACCATCACAAATTATGTATATGTGTTTCCTCCAGGTAAATGGTAATGAACTTTTTGAGTGTAGGACAAATATCTTATCCCTGTGCATATTCTACACAGTGCCTTATACATGCCTAGACAAGGTATTTGTCAAATTGACCCTTTCCTGAGAAGATGTGATTCATAAGAACTGCCTAATTTCATTTTCTTGTTCTCCTACTATGCTGTCTCTTATAATTTCACACCATTGAGGAGAACAGATACCTTCAAAGAGCACAAGTAAGCAGAATGGATAGTGCTGTTGAATATTTGGTAGCAAGATGTGATTATCAAAATAAATTAGGATCTTCCACGGCAAATCCAGTTTATTGGGAGATGAATGGTTAGGAATCTTTTATTTGAAGACCTCTAAGTAGATTAATTAGAAAGGTGTCTAATTTCAAGGCTTCTAATAGTTTGCAGAGAAGTGAACAGATATGGGTATAAATTTCAGCTCTGCTTCTTGATGGCTAAAGGCTCAGTGTCCTCATCTGTAAAATGGCAGTAATACTGCCTGACATTAGGTGGTTGTGCCGATTAAGTAAGATAACTTTTATAAACCACTCTGCCTAGAACTTATTAATTACTTCAATATTTGTTGTTCTTCTTCTTATCATTATCACTAGTGTTATTATTACTATATCAGGTGACAGGTAAACTTGGTAATCCCGTGCAAACAGCCCACTTTGTGTGTTTGTGCACACATATGCACCTTCACTCTCACCATAATTCACTTTCTTCATCCAATGTATAAATATTTTGTTGTACAATGTAACAAACATAGAACTTTCATTTTATTTGTGTGTGTGTGTGTGTGTATATATATATATATATATGTATTTAAAGCAAGGTACAGTTTTTTAAAACTCGAAAATAAAAAATTAAGTCATTTGAAAGCTATTCAAAACCATCCTTTTTTTATTAATAGTCTAATTTATTTCATGAATTTAAATTTGCTAATATCCATTATAAACACTTTATAAAATAAAAAAGCTATTTTGTCAGACCAGTTGCCATTTAAATTAACTTTGAGTGGTGCAGTTAAGATTTCCATTGAGATTAAAACTCAAATGAAGCATGGTTTTGCATAAAAGTAATTATTTAAAATAAAAAAGGAAAAGGATGAAGATGGAAAAGAAGAGAAGAAGGAGGTGAAGGAGGAGGAGGAGGAAATCCAAGAGCTGAACAAGATTCTCAACTATAACAACTTGCAGATTCTAATTTGCTCACCTAAAACTTAACAGTTGGTGGGGAAAAAAAAAAAACAGTATCACCAACAACAAAATAAAGGTGGGCAATTCATCCTCGTCCTCCTAAGCTGAATTCCTAAACAAAGCTAGAGAGTAAAGGAATTCATTCACTTGCTCTAAAAAGTGTGGAAATTCTGCCTTTATTTGCATAGCCAGATAAAATTGTAGACCATTTTGAATATCCACTTTCACTCAGGCCTGCATATAGTGCTAGGGACTGTTGAGGTAGGGTGGGATTCCTACAGAAGATTCTGTTCACCTCGGTTTCTTCCCCCCAAATGTATCCTACTGGAGGTTTGAGAGCTATAAGAGCTGCAGTGCAGTTTATTAAATGCCTACTGTGCTCCAGACGAGGGCCCTGGAGATACAACAGTGAGGAAGACAGGCAGGCTGCCCTCAGTTACTTGCATGGTAGTAGGATGAAACACGCAATAAACATACGTACAAGTATAAATTGTTTGAAGTTCAGTAAGGGCAGATAAAAGAGAGTAATGTAATGGAGAATGATTGGCAAGGGGCTCACTCCAGCTAGGGAGTCAAGGAAGATCTGTGGATGTAAAATTTCTACTGACGCCTGAAATGTTAGAAAGAGGCCACCGTGCAAAGCTGTGGGAGAAGACTGCCTTAAGCAAAAGCGCCACTGCTGAGACCCTGGAACAGAAAAG